ACCCTCTGCTCTGTAACCTGTAACCCTGCACCCCTACCTCTGCTCTATAACCTATAACCCTGCACCCCTACCCTCTGCTCTGTAACCTGTAACCCTGCACCCCTACCTCTGCTCTATAACCTATAACCCTGCACCCCTACCTCTGCTCTATAACCTATAACCCTGCACCCCTACCCTCTGCTCTGTAACCTGTAACCCTGCACCCCTACCCTCTGCTCTGTAACCCTGCACCCCTACCCTCTGCTCTGTAACCCCTGCACCCTACCCTCTGCTCTGTAACCCCTGCACCCCTACCCTTGCTCTGTAACCCTGCACCCTACCCTCTGCTCTGTAACCCTGCACCCCTACACTCTGCCTGTAACCCTGCACCCCTACTCCTGCTCTGTAACCTGTAACACACTGCACCCCTACCCTCTGCTCTGTAACCCTGCACCCCTACCCTCTGCTCTGTAACCTGTAACACTGCACCCCTACCCTCTGCTCTGTAACCTGTAACACTGCACCCCTACCCTCTGCTCTATAACCTGTAACCCTGCACCCCTACCCTCTGCTCTGTAACCTGTAACCCTGCATCCCTACCCTCTGCTCTGTAACCCTGCACCCCTCTACACTCTGCTCTGTAACCCTGCACCCTACCCTCTGCTCTGTAAATCTCTGCACCCCTACCTCTGCTCTAACCCAGGCTACTGCACCCTACCCTCTGCTCTGTAACCTGTAACACTGCACCCCTACCCTCTGCTCTGTAACCTGTAACCCTGCACCCCTACCCTCTGCTCTATAACCTATAACCCTGCACCCCTACCCTCTGCTCTGTAACCTGTAACACTGCACCCCTGCCCTCTGCTCTGTAACCCTGCACCCCTACCCTCTGCTCTATAACCTATAACCCCGCACCCCTACCCTCTGCTCTGTAACCTGTAACACTGCACCCCTACCCTCTGCTGTAACCCTGCACCCCTACCCTCTGCTCTATAACCTATTACCCTGCACCCATACACTCTGCTCTGTAGCCTGTAACCCTGCACCCCTACCCTCTGCTCTGTAACCCCGCACCCCTACCCTCTGCTCTGTAACCCCGCACCCCTACCCTCTGCTCTGTAACCTGTAACACTACCCTCTGCTCTGTAAATCAGACCCTGCACCCTACCCTCTGCTCTATAACCTGTAACCCTTACCCTACCTCTGCTCTGTGCTCCTGCACCCCTATCCTCTGCTCTGTAAATCGTAACCCTGCACCCCTACCCTCTGCTCTGTAACCTGTAACACTGCACCCCTACCCTCTGCTCTGTAACCTGTAACCCTGCACCCCTACCCTCTGCTCTGTAACCTGTAACACTGCACCCCTACCCTCTGCTCTATAACCTGTAACCCTGCACCCCTACCCTCTGCTCTGTAAACCTGTACCCATACCGACTGCTCAGTCCAGACTGCCCCCTTTCTGGAGCCTTTGCTGTATGTCTAACCATCAGGACACAGCCTTGAAATACAACACATTATAGTAATCTGGAAATACAGGGAAACAAA